TTATGATCCCCTTCTAGCATATTGCTCACGCCATGCTAGCGAGCAATTTTCCCATTCCCAATGCATGCAGTAATACACACTACCATACCTAGAAAGCCTCTTTGTTGGCCCTCATAAAGCAAGTGCTCTATATCAACAATATTTGGTCTTGGAAAATACACATCTCCAAATGCAATGTTGACAGCTTGTACAAATTTTTTCACACATTTTGTTGTAGTGGTCTCACCGATTCTCAAATATTCACCAACGACATCTGCAACCACAGCATATGTAAGCATTCAGATAGCTAGTGTACACTTTCGAAGTGGTGTGAGGCTTTCTCTTCCTGTGCAGTCAAGGGTGCTCTCAAAGTATGGATTTGATTCATGACAGCTTCGACTATGTGGAGAAATAAGCTCATTCGCATACAGAACCTGCACTTAAATGTTTCATTGGGGAATGCAGGATTCTTCGCAAAGTAATCATTGTACAATCGCTGGTTGCAATTTTATATATTCATCTACAATTTGGGACTTTGAATCATCAAGAAACCATTTGATAATGTTCTCATCAAAGAATGTGTAATTGTGATCTGAATCTGAAGAACTTGAGGAACATGATGAAAAAGAAGATGATGGTGACAAGTACATGTGTATACCATCGATTTGTGGGGATAAGGAGTTACATATCAACAATTGTATTTAATAGCGGAGATTTAAAAATTTATACATGATTAGGCCAAAATATAAGGTGGGTAAGGTGAGAGAAATGAGATAGTATTAAAAGATGTGAGATGTACGATGGAGTGTTTCGTAAATTTGGAATTGTTTGGACTAGATTTTAGCGTACATAAGGGCATGGCGATTGATGTGGGTAGTGATTTCAGGGATAGAAGTGGAATAAAATCGAAAGATTGATATGTAAGGTGGAGTTCTTGTATTGGAATTTGTTAAAAAATAGTTGGATGGTCAACTTTGCATAAAGTTTGTTCATGGGGATAATTTGTTTCATGATTCATGGGCAATAAAATAGATTTGTTGGAAAACCGCATTAATTATGGGCAAATCCTCATATATAGCCATCATTTTTATTATATCTAGTGGCTCAAATTAATTCCCAAGAAAATCTAGAGGGGCGGATGTATTTCTCGCACCACAGTCACTTTTTCTAACAGTTTGACTCAATAAATCAAAGGAGAGAAAGGTGAAAGTGACAAGTCTAAAACTCCTTTTTCTAATCCCCTATTTTTCTTAATCAGATCCTATAGCATTCGTTTGAACTCAAAATTTTAAAAAATTTGCATAAAAAACCGCATTAATTATGATTTACACAATGATCTTACTAAAGCTGATTATTTGTACTCCTATTACGAATTCTTATATGATTGCGAAGATACTCTTCATGTTTAAGGAGACGATTATTTGAAACTACATGCATAGATACACTAAAATTGATGTCATCATCTATATAATCAAAATTTCGAATGTATGAATCACGCTCATCTTACGCTATCATGATGTGCATAATTAGCATGCCCTCATTATTCCTCTGATTATGTCTTTATACCACATGTATGATGGTCCATTAATGATTACAAATCGTGCTTAGAGCACCCTTAATGCTCTCTCAACATCTTTACTGGCTGCATATTGATTCTTAGCAAACAACTTGTGTTTCAGTCCTTGGGGTAATGGGATTGACTTGACAAATGTCGTCCAATTGGGATAAATACCAATAGTGAGATCTATAATATCCAAATTATACTTTCTTTCATTAACAAAATAGAAAATTGTGGGTGATTTTCCCTCTAGCACCTCGTGAATACTGGAGACCAATCTAACAGGTAAAAGTCATTTAATGTACCAGGAACACCATATCCACAAATCATATGAAGCAACAGCTTCAAGCATAATAGTTGGAGTTTTATGATCCCCTCTAGAATGAGTTTTATGATCCCCTTCTAGCATATTGCTCACGCCATGCTAGCGAGCAATTTTCCCATTCCCAATGCATGCAGTAATACACACCACCATACCTAGAAAGCCTCTTTGTTGGCCCTCATAAAGCAAGTGCTCTATATCAACAATATTTGGTCTTGGAAAATACACATCTCCAAATGCAATGTTGACAGCTTGTACAAATTTTTTCACACATTTTGTTGTAGTGGTCTCACCGATTCTCAAATATTCACCAACGACATCTGCAACCACAGCATATGTAAGCATTCAGATAGCTAGTGTACACTTTCGAAGTGGTGTGAGGCTTTCTCTTCCTGTGCAGTAAAGGGTGCTCTCAAAGTATGGATTTGATTCATGACAGCTTCAACTATGTGGAGAAATAAGCTCATTCACATACAGAACCTGCACTTAAATGTTTCATTGGGGAATGCAGGATTCTTCGCAAAGTAATCATTGTACAATCGCTGGTTGCAATTTTATATATTCATCTACAATTTGGGACTTTGAATCATCAAGAAACCATTTGATAATGTTCGCATCAAAGAATGTGTAATTGGGATCTGAATCTGAAGAACTTGAGGAACATGATGAAAAAGAATATGTTGGTGACAAGTACATGTGTATACCATCGATTTGTGGGGATAAGGAGTTACATATCAACAATTGTATTTAATAGCGGAGATTTAAAAATTTATACATGATTAGGCCAAAATATAAGGTGGGTAAGGTGAGAGAAATGAGATAGTATTAAAAGATGTGTGATGTACGATGGAGTGTTTCGTAAATTTGGAATTGTTTGGACTAGATTTTAGCGTACATAAGGGCATGACGATTGATGTGGGTAGTGATTTCAGGGATAGAAGTGGAATAAAATCGAAAGATTGATATGTAAGGTGGAGTTCTTGTATTGGAATTTGTTAAAAAATAGTTGGATGGTCAACTTTGCATAAAGTTTGTTCATGGGGATAATTTGTTTCATGATTCATGGGCAATAAAATAGATTTGTTGGTATAGGAAATGAAGTTGTTGTTGTATGAATTTAAACATAATTAATGAAATGACTATAAATATGAAATATCAATTTCTCATGGATTCCTTAGTTACATTTTTTTGATGGATCCATCTCGTCCCTCCTTCAATCCATATTTTAATTTCTACCATACTTTATCTCCATATGCGTCTAAAAAGAGACACAAGATACACAATCTCGTGTTAGTCCATTCACAAATTCTCATATGAACTCTCTATTCTTTTCAAATACGGGTAATTTCTCAATATCTATGTTTCTAAATCCAAACTTTCAATATTTTCAACATTATTATCCACCATATAATGTGCCTAATAACGTTTTCAAGTCTCTACCAAACCAATCTCCAGTCACTCCCACTAATCCTAGTGAACACGATTCTCCATTTCTTGGGCATTGTAGTCAATAAATGTCCACAGAAGCTAACTAGAGAAGGAATAATGAACAAATTCGTTGGAATCCAAAAGATGACTTTTTGTTGTGCAGTGCATGGTTGAATATCTACAAAGAGCCAAACATTGGTACAGATCAATGTTACCGGCAGTGCAGTCAAAATCGCGCATTAAAACGTAAAAACTTACATTTTTACGTATCCAGGCCACCAAAACGTTTCAGTTTCTACCTAAAGTCGCTTAGTCACAAAAATTTGTAAAAACATGGGTAAAATCGGTAAAATCGCTTAAAATCGGTAAAATCGCGATTTTGTAGCATTTTTATACGATTTTGATCATCTCATAAAAATGTGCTAATTGGCCCAAAATGATGTAATTTTGGAGATATATCAGCAAAAACTAAAAAAGGAAAACATGATTCATCACTCGTTCTACAACTAGTGTCGAGATAGGGGCTTCAGATTAGGTTGAAAAGACACCTAATTGTATTCTCAACAGTCGCTGACCTTCTATCAGTCTTCTCCCTTAATCTTCACCTGTGGCTCTTACCTGGGTTACGATAAAATTTTATGGGTAATTGAACGTATTTAATTATGTAAACTCAAACCACCTTATGAGAATTTGGATTCTCAAGCTCGTTTACGTGTTACGATCTACGTTTATGAGCTTATTATTAAGATGTTATGAGTTTTCTCTACTTTTGATAAATTAGTTTATGTGTTAGATATTACATTTTAATTATGAATTTCATGTAGTTATTCACTTATCCAAAATCTACACACTCACATTTTACATACTATATGTTGTACTTAACATATTTTAGCTATTTTAGAGGGTGCATAAAAAATTTATGCTTTTACGCTTTGATTCTACGTTTTACGATTTTACCCATTTTCCGCTTCTAGGTAGAATCGCGCTTTTAACTGCATTGGTTATCGGGTTTTTTGGGAGCGCATTCATGAGTATTAACAAAACTTTCACAATAAGACATCTCAATCCCAGAGGGGTAAGCAGCCAATGATGAGTCATTGGACCAGAATCAACAAAGATGTAGCAAAATTAGTTGGTTGCTATAAACAAGTCCAACATCGAAGGGAAAGTGGTATAAATGAGGGAGATAAACAGAACAAGGTGTTAATTTTATGCATTGTTGTAAAAGAATGAAGAGAAATGGAAAGTCAAATCAAATCATCTATCCATCTGGTAGTGATTAACATAGTGGATCAAAGAGGAGTAAGAATACTATTTCAGGGTAATACACTACATTATCATCATCAAATACAAGCATACCTCCAATTGGAGAGTCTGAGACTGTGTCTCTTCCACGTCCCCGAGAAAAGAAATCTTTAAAGAACAAAGGGAAGAAAACACTTAAGTCATCTGACATAGTTGAAAGAATGGAACTTGCGGTGCAACAAAAAATCAACATTAAAGTAGGAAAATTAGAGGCGAAGAGGGAGTTCACGGCTGCGAAGACCAAATTACAAGAGGAACATGAGATGAAACAAGAAAGAAAATTGAGGGAAAAAGATGCATATCGAGAACAAAAATTAACAATAAAATTAATAGAAATCGATTTATCAACGAAGACAGAAGCACAAAGAAGGCTATATGATAGACAATTTCATGAGTCGTCAGTCAGGTTTATGCGTGCTCTTTCTTTGTTTGTAAGCAGCTTCTCATGGAAGGCCAGCCAAATGAAGTGTTGATTCGGCACGGGCCTTTCCACTTCCACAGTTTCTTCCAATTGTTTCCTACCACCTCGTATAGCTCCTCCACAGCCAATTTGTAGGCCGATTTGAGTCTGAAACGTCCATCCGATTCCAAGCCCCAGATAGTCTTGTCATTTCCCATATCAGCTTTTGGTATATCAGTACCTGCAATGAGGGGGAGAATTTCATCAGGGAGCTTTCCGTTTAAAAGTTCCCAGTTCCATTCCCCGGAGGGCAAAATAAGTTGAGACACAGGGGCATCCCTTTCATCATCGTCCAGGTTCGAGGTCAAGAAGTCTTCCAGCACCAGTCCTGCCTCGATCCATTGTTGCTTCCAAAATGCTATAGAATTTCCATTTCTGATGCTTGTGCAGGTGGTAGAGTCCATGAGGGGCATAGCCTTAAGGATGCCTCTCCTAAGCGTAGAGTGGTTGCTCTCCTTCATGGAGCTAATTTCCCCATTTCTGTGCCAGAAGTATTTGTGTTGGAACACATGCACCCAAAGAGAGTTTTCATTGTTAAGAATTTGTCAGGCCAACTTAACCAGGTATGCCAGATTCAAGCAACGAGCACTTCTAAGACCTAGCCCCCCTTGATCCTTAGGCTTGCAAATAGTATCCCAGTCAAGTAAATGAATTCTACGTTTCCCATCATTTGAGCCCCAAACAAAGCCCCTAATCTTTCTGTCGATCTCATCAAAGACATACATGGGAAGGACAGATGATTACATAGCATAGTTGGGTATGGCATTCAGCACAGCAGTGGCTAAAGTGACTCTTCCAACTAGTGAAAGAGTTCTAGCTTTCCAGGCATTAAGCTTGTTGTCCATCTTTTCAAGAATGTACTTATAGGTTCCTTTAGTAACCTTACCATGTAACACAGGGACTCCTAGATACTTCCCAAGATCAGAAGTGTTCTGGATTCCAAGTCTGTTACATATACAAGATTTATCAAGGTTCCTAACATTCTTGGAGAAGAAGACTCTCGACTTCTCCTTGCTAATAAGCTCACCAGAAGCAAGACATAAATTCTCAATGCAATTCATGACAATATCAGCTTGTCTAAGGTTGGCCTCAACAAAAACAACAAGATCATCAGCAAAGAACAAATAAGAGAGGGCAGGTCCTCCTCTAGAAAGTTTAACAGGTTTCCAGTTCCCCTCATTAACTTCCCTAGTAATGCAATGACCCAGACATTCAATACAAAGTGTAAAAAAGGTAGGGAGAGAGGGGACATCCCTGTCTAAGGCCTCTGCCTGGCTTGAAAGCTTCAGTCTCACCACCATTCCATAATACTTGTAGCTCTGTTGTAGTGACACAAGCCATCATCAGCTTTACTCCATCATCAGGAATCCCCACAGCAACAAGTGTTTCTTCCAGAAAATCCCAATCCAGGCGGTCATAGGCTTTTGCAAGATCAATTTTGAGAAGCATATCATCTTTCTTCCCTGTCTTCCTGGACATTGAGTGCACAGTTTCTTGGAGGATCAGGATGTTCTCATTGATGTTTCTATTACGCACAAAGCTAACCTGATTTGGTTTGATCAGGGACTCCATCAAGGGTTTCAGTCTGTCAGCAAGGCACTTAGCCACAACCTTGTAATTGACATTACAAAGGCTAATAGGGCGGAATTGGCCATTGAGTGAGGTGTTTCAGTTTTGGGGATTAGGGCAAGAAGGGTACCATTGACGTTCCTGATGAGGTCAGGGTTGACAAAGCAGGAAGTCACAAAATTATGGAGGTCTGCTCCCACGATATCCCAGCAACCATGATAGAAAAAGGCATGGTATCCATCTTTTCCTAGAGCCTTCATTCCCTTCATGTTGGACATAATGGCTTTCACTTCCACGAGCGATGGAAGTCTGCAAAACATTCGAAGAGCAGCTTCATTGGATTTTGGGAAGTTTTCTGCCACCTCAGGTCTAAAATCTGGTCCTTCCTTGGTGAACAGGTTGATGTAGAAATCCCTGGCCTTCGATTGGAGTTGATCAGGATCAGTGATCCACTGGTTGAGGCTATCCTTGAGGCCCTTGATTTTGTTGCATTTTCTTCGGGTGAGAGTGCTTGTATAGAAGAAGCGTGTATTGTTGTCTCCAAAGGTAAGCCAGTTCACCCTAGACTTCTGGAACCATAGAAGTTCTTCTTGCCAAAGAGTGTCCTCCAGTTCCTCTCTTGTTTCTTGTTCAGACTTGAGAGATTGATTAGTGGGGGCTCTTTCATTCTTCCATTCCAAACTTTCAAGCTTTTTCAACAGCTTTTTCTTCCTTTTAAAGATGTGGCCAAAGGTTTCTTTGTTCCATTTCTTGAGCTCTTCAGACAACTTTTGGAGGGAGGGAAGAAAGCATGTTTGCTTCTTCCAGGCTTCAGTTGCAAGAGGGAAGAAATCCTCGTGAGCCATCCAGGCAGCAATAAACTGGAACCGTCTTAGGAAATTGCTTATGTCCTGAGGACCAGCACTGCAGGTGAGAATGGCTCTATGATCAGACTTGATTTTTGTGAGGTGGTTGGTAATAGTTCCGGGGAATCTTTGCTGCCAGGCCAAGTTGCAGAGGCTTCGATCAAGGCGTTCCTTGATTCTGGTCTTGCTAGTGAACCAGGTGAAGCTTGGCCCTATAAAACCAGTATCAATTAATCTGCAATCCTCAATGCAGCTGTTAAAAGCCCTGGCTTTTGCTGGATTGAAGCTGGCGCCACCTTGCATTTCTGATGGCTTGGAAATGGAGTTGAAGTCTCCGAACTAAAGCCAAGGTCCATTGATATTCGGCTTTAATATATCGGATTCTTGGACTTTATGTGATTATCCCATGGTATGTTTTAGCCAATTGGTACTATTTTAGGGCTCTCTAACCCGAGAATGGTTGAAAAACCATTACTGTCTAGTGCCATGAGTTTGATATGTTACAGGTGGAGAAAGCACGAAAAATGGAGTGCAGCTGAATGGAGAATTGGATTTGGAGGTTGGGCCAATTTCTTGTGGGCCACGAAAATTGACCAAGGAAACTTAATTGGACGGAAAAGAGAGAGGCAGCAGGGTTTGGTGGACGGACACAAATTCTCTAGGGACACGTAATTTGGCAGGGGAGAAAGAATTAACAAAAGGAGAGGGGGCACTTAATTGGTTTTTTGGGGTGGCGGAGGCAAATTCTCTTGGGAGGGTTTCTCTTTGGGAAGTAAAAGAAAGGCAGCAGCAGCTTGTTGACAGGGCGGAACTTCTTTGGAGAGGCGCAGCGAAAAGAAGAGGAGGCAGCAGCGAATTCTCTTGGAGAAAGACGAACAGCGCGCAGAAAGCTTGGGACGCGAGCGGCGATTACAAATCGAATTTCGACTTTTTCCAAGGTTTGAGCTGAGTTCAACGAGAGCGATTAGTTGGTTGGATTTTCTGAACCAAATTAGTTGTTATTTGTTGATTTAGAACATGATGAACAAAACCCTATCGATTTATCTTAATTTCATCATGAACTAAACCCCAATTTCTGGGGGAAACACCATAGGATGTAGCTATTTCTTGATTTGATGGATTGATTTATGATTCTTATCTTCCAATCTCTATTGCATGAAATTACTTAATGCTTTGTGTTGACTGGCCACCAATACAATGATTTGTAGTTAATTAGGTTATTAGCGACAGTGAAACCCTAATAACTGAACCTATTTCATGTGACATAGTAACTTATCGAAGCGACAGTGGATTAAATAAGGTGCTATGCGGTCTTAAATAGGATATCGGTCTTCAAACTAAATAATTAACTCATTGAGCTACGACAGTAGGATTTGAATTAATTGCTTGGTACGTAGTAATTCCCGACAGGGATAGCTAGCACAGTAGTGATATCCTGGCTGTAGAGATATGGATTAAATTGATTGGAATATGTGAATTAATCTGGATAGGAAAGGTAGTAAATCCCGGTGTTTCTCCCAGAGCTTTCTCCCATTGAATTAAACCCGACATTTTAATTTGCTTAATTACTTTAGTTATTTTGCTATTAGTTAATAATCTCATCAACCAAACCATTTTCACTTATAGTTTGCTCCATAGAATTGATAGAAATTAAGGTTGTACTAGTCCCTGAGAGACGATACCCGGACTTTCCGGTTTTACTACAAGATAGGAATTGAAGCTATACGCTTTTGCCCTATCAAGTTTTTGGCGCCGTTGCTGGGGACTGCCATACCTTATTTTTATTGATTTTTGTGAGTGAACTATTTTGATCTGGGTGTCAGTGTGCAGAAGAATTTTCAGGATTACCTCCTCGTGCATGCCCAGGAGGACGAGAAGACCTGCCGACAGAACAGGAAGCAGGTCAAGTTAGGGAAGCAGCCAACCACAACCACTAGGCCTTCCCTAACCCAGAGAGGGCAGGCTTCATCACCTGTCGTCCCTACACCACCACCACCACCTCGTGACATTGAGCCTGTCATCATGGCAGACGAGGATCGTTCGATCAGGTCTCGTCTGAATCGAAGGACTGGAGCCCGAGCTTCATGTGTTGTCATTCCGGCTGGGGATGCAAACATGGAGATTACCCCAGCCTTCATCAATATGATCACTAATGGGTACACCTTCTCCGGGCTAGCAGTGAGGATCCTCATGAGCATCTTTGCCGGTTCGCGAGCATTTGTGATACTATGAAGAGCCCGACCGTGTCTGATGATGCAATCCGTCTTCGGATGTTCTCATTTTCTCTGCTAGGGAATGCATCACACTGGTTCCAAAACTTAACACCCCGTTCCATCACGACATGGGGTCAGCTTGAGAAGGTATTTCTGGATAAATACTTCCCACCTGCCTTGGCAATGAAGAGGCAAGAAGAGATTTGTTACTTTTAAGCAGGCTGATGATGAGAGTCTGACTGAGGCATGGGAGCGCTACAAGGGGCTGTTGATGAGATGCCCAAGCCATGGTCTTGAAGATTGGAACGTGATCATTATTTTCTTCAATGGAATCAGAAGGGAGTTTCGGGATGCCCTGAATAATGCTTCTCGAAATGGTTTCACAAGCATGGAGGCACCAGCAGCATATGATCTAGTAGAGAAGATCTGTTCAGAAGCCACTGAATGGGGTAGTGAGACCAGTATTTGAAGGAGACGAGGCTTGCATGAGATAAACAGAGTTGCGAGTCTAGAAGCCAAGATAGATGCTAAACTGGATTCCAAGTTTGATGCACTCGAACGAAGGTTGGCCAAGATTGCTCTGAGTAGACAAAAGGAGGTTGTTTCATGTGAACTTTGCGAGGGTCCTCATCACAGGGATATGTGTCCACTGGGAGCTGCTCAGTTGGAAGATGTCCAATACATCAATAATCTGCGAAGTCAAGGCCAGGGTGGTATGTATTCAAATACATATAACCCTCAATGGAGACATCACCCCAACATGTCATGGTCAAATAATAATCCAGCTGGTGTTCGAAACATCCCACCTCCCGGTTTTCAACAGCAGCAGCCTCAACCAGAGAAGAAGCCCCAGCTGGAGGAGTTGATTTTGGCTCATATGCAGAAAACAGACAATAATTTCAAGGGCCTGGATCAATTTGTCACTCAACAGCTAGCCATCAACAATAATTTACAATCGTCTATGCTAGCTATGGAGAGGCAGATGGGACAGATGGCTCAAACTTTGGCAGATATGCAAGGCAGGATTCCTGGGACATTACCAGCAAATACTGAGAGGAATCCGAAGGATGCCATGGTTGTAGCAGTGACATTGAGGAGTGGAAAGGCCTTGAAAGACCCTAGCAGCTCGAAAAAGGCACCAGAGGCAGAAGAGGAAGCACCGGGAGAAAGATCTTGTGCAGAAAATGAAGAATCAGCCTTGCACAGGCAAAATGAAAG